ATCTATCGGGAAAGAGATAACTATAAGGAAGTTTTAACGAACTGCTATAATTCTGCACTTTGGTGAAAGATGAGAGAGAGAGAGAGAAAGAGGGGGGGGGGAGAGAGGGGAGAGAAAAGAAGAGAGCGAGTAACATTGATTCTCGGTTTAATCTTTAGAGAGCTACTTAGCGAGGAAGTTGGGTTCCATTGGGTACTTCCGAGCGTAAGCTTTTCCTTACTTTACTTTGAATCCTTGTGACAAAGAGCCCTAATTATCGACCTTACTTACATACATAGGTACACGCGACGGGGGGGGGGGGACAAGTTTCGATGGGGAAAATTTCCTTCGACAAATCTTTTTCTAGTTCTAATTCTTTCAACCATATCCGAGGAAGAAATGTTTCGTTAATGTAGGTAGAGAAATGGATGTGAAAGAAAAAAAAAGTATTCGATAAGGGAACACGAAAAAAATTCCTTTTCTTCTCTCACGGGAAGAAAGAAAGAAAGAAAGAGAGAGACGATGGCATAGGTGCTCGGTGACGCTTTAAATTTTAATTGCGCTCGCTTATTCTCCGAGTTATACGAAAGAAAGAAAAAAGGACGAGGAAGAAGGACGATGGTGGTGGTATTCTACGTTGAAATAAGAAGAAGATACGAACCCAGGGAATATATTTTCGAGCGACCGAGCGTGAAACGAGCTTCGCCCAAGTTTCTCCTCTACCTTTCCTTCTTCCTCTTTCGCGAAGAGGTTATAGGTGTGGAGAGTGATCGATAGAGGTTCGAGAGAGAAAGCCAAAAGCGCGAGAATAGCGCTAGTATCATAGTAGTAGTAGTAGGTGGAGGAGGAGGAGGAGGAAGAGGAGCAGAGCCTAGCCGGATACGCGCTCGTCTAGGTATACGAGAGAGGATCTCTTGGGAGATGATCCTTCTCAAGGACGATACTCGGACGATATTTATCCTCCGGAGAAAATGGGGACATTTACGTTGCGCTTGTCTAGAAATTTTCTTCTCCGAAGACCGACCCTTCTTCCCATCCCCCGCCCCCTCGCACCAGAAAGAAGGATAAGCTTGTCTCGTCTCTCGGAGAGCTTGCGAGAAAGAGAGAACGTTGTTTCTTCCTTCCTTCCAACCCTCCGAGTCGGGCGGGCAGCACGCGTTCGCTCGTGAAATAAACGCGAAGGGATTTTTCGAAAAATACAACCAAATCATCCGCGAAGGATTCCCTTTCCTACCTACCCGTCTCCACCATCTTTTGGGTCAGCCTTGAAAAATATGATTCGGCTTTCACGAATCTCAGGGATTTTCCGCGAACGACGTTTTTCTCCTCTCCTAGGATATAATACTTTTTATTCTTTTGCTCGTTCAACGATCGGCAAAGATATCGTTTTCTTTTTTTCTTTTCTTACTCTCTATCCGTATCCTTCTACCTTCCATTTTGCGACGATTATTTTCGATTACGCGAAGCTAAGAGATACGCGCTTGTGTATTCCCCAAAGGAAAACTGGAAATTAATATCGTTGATCAAAGTTTACCCCTTTCTAACGACTACGAAGAGAGAGAGAGACATTAGATAAGTGAAAAGAAAAATTTCGCGTCGTCTTACATTGAAAATTGGGGAAACGTCTTCCGAGTAAAAGAATAACGCTATTTTATGCGGTTATTCTTTTAAAACGCGAAGCAAACTTTATGCGTTAACACGCATCCGGCGGTCCTATTCTTCTACCTCGAAATAGAATAATGTCACATCCGGTAAACCTTAGATAGCTCTGGTTGCTTGGAAAACGCGGATTTATTCATAGTAAGAGATCAAACGAATACGTTTACGATGAAAAGCTCTTTCTCTTTCCCTTTTCTCTCTTTGCAGAGATTTTCTAGCATCGCTAGTTGTTTGTCTTAACTTTACGGAATTCGGGCAAATATTTCATTTTCACGAAATTCATCCCGTCGCCGCGCTTTTAGTCATCCCTTTTTCTCCATCTCTTTCTCTATCGTTCGGTTAGTAGTAAAACTGTTAGAAGAGATCTTCTATCCTGGCTAATTGTAAAACGAGTTTCTGCACGAAATATGAAATACCAAAAGCCCGTTTTCGCGTACGTAGCCTCACGAACAAGATTCGTGGAATTTAACCGACCGAGTAAAGTGGAAAATAGATCTTACGAATAAGAGAAGAGTGGACTGAAGAGGAGAGAGAGAAAGAGAGAGAGAGAGAGAGAGAGTGAAAAGAGAAGAAATGGTAAAAGGGTTAATTCATGGGGTCAGATTGCGGTTTGCGCCACGCTTGTTTCCTAAATCCCACGATACGATCCAAAGGGATCAAACAGATTCGTTTTCTCTCTCTTTCTCTTTCTCTCTGTCTGTCTCTCTTGGAAAACGTGCGACGGACACACCGGACTCTCTCGTAATGTATGTATGTGGAACGCGCGGTTTGTTAAATCGAGTCAAATCGGCGAATTCGCTGGCAATCCGGAATGGGACGCGTTTTACTCATCCGACCGTTGCTACACGTATACACCTATGTATTCCCATACGTATGCAGGTTGTTACGTAACTCGTTTTATTTCCTTTTTTCTTTTTTTTTTTTCTCTTCTTTTTTTTCATTTTTACCAGCGAATCAGAGGATAGGTTTGACAGTTTGAAAACGAGCATTTCATACAGAGCATTTCTACACGCGAAGAATTTACGTAAACGAACGATGATGGGGTATATGTACTAAATTAAAAAAGAAACAATTGTCTCACGTTCCTTTACTCGTGCACCACCCCCAATGGGGTATATGGTAGAAAGATAATTCGAAGCATCTGCGTTAAGATGAAAACGAGCTGAAAATTTGAACGATACTCGCGATAGTTGTGTCTTATGTTAGCGCCTAAATTCTCAAGTGAATTTGTTTGCTTGTGTTGTTAGAGGTGGGAAGGAATGGGCGAGAGGTAGCTTTCGAAAGCTCTCTTAAATAAAGGAGAGCCAGGCACCGTCGTTTCTTCGAGTCTCGGCGGAGTTAGTATCTTTTCTTTCGACGTGGATTTTCGCGGCAAGCCAAACTCCTGCCGCGTGCTTTCGCATGCCAGTTTATGCGAGCATCATTCAAACCTTACCACCACCAGTTTCCATGGATATTATCTGTGGTTAAAGCCGAGGAAAGTTTGTTCTCTCTCTCTCTCTCTCTCTCTCTCTCTCTCTCTCTCTCTCTCTCTCTCTCTCTCTCTTTAGTTCGCACGTTGCAACGGCAGCAACGCTTTATCCGTGAAATTAATGAGACTTTGCTTGCAGTAAGCTCTCTCTCTCTCACACACGTACACACACGTTGCACGCGGCAAACTTTGGTTAAGTTTTATAAACGATCGAGTGGTATCTTAACGAGAGAAAGAGAGACCGAGGATACATACGAGTTCGTCCGAAAATAATACGCGAAAAGTAAGGCGTATTATATCGAAGCAATGATCTCGTTTAATGATACGTATCCAACGTAAAAAGACAGAACGAATGGGGATTTTATACAACTGCGTGTAGTACTCTATAAAATAAGATATTTTATTCGAGAGGGAGGACAGTCCTCTCGAAGTTGAAACTTTCCTAAATGTATAGATACGTCAGCGGATGATAAGAGTAGAGAAGGTTTTACTTTTGTAAACGGCAAACTACCATAATTTCCAATGTAAACTGTATCTAATCGAGTTTAGTTGGCGAAACTATTTGAGAAAGAGAAAGAGAGGGAGAGAGAATCGAGGACACGAGCGAGGAAAAGCAATTGCGATGCAAAATAGATAGTAGTCGATTAGTCCAACTATCCCCCATTACCACCAGCTATAGCAACCCTACCCTATCCTAGTTAGACGGGAAACCTCTTTAGTTTCCTTTTCCTCGAAGTTTCTCTGGACGATTTGTAAAATTTCCCTTTGTTCCCGTTTTGTAGCTAATTCGTTTTTGCGAATTGGTCCGACAGCTGTCGCGAAGAATAAACGTGAACTAGACGATACGTATTCGTGACTACAGGGACAGGTAGGAGGAAGGGTGGGGGAGGGTGGCGGTGGTTGTAGAATAATCGAGGTCAATAATCGACGAGTTCCCGTCGAAAGGGGTTCCTCTCTCCCTCTCTCTCTCTCTCTCTCTCTCTCTCTCTCTCTCTCTCTCTCTCTCTCTCTCTTTGATTTCTGACAGCATCAGAGCTCGGCTTTAACGTTCGAC